CAAAGAGTCCTCTGTCATGACTCCAAATCATTGATTGGGGGATCTGCCTAAGGGCAGAGGGACAAACACACACACACGCGCGAAACTCCTCCCCACCTGTGTATAAATGTTGTGATCATTTGAAGATCGGCGCTCTTGTCTTTGACTTGCCGTTCCTGAGACGTGTCTCACACGGTGGTAGAACCTGAGCCCGGAGTACTCTGCAGAGTGCTTCGGTATTAGGTGATGTATTTGTATGTTTCCGCCATTAAAGCAGATTATTGTTTAACCCTTATCCTGCTGCTTTGAATTTTTCCTTCTTTTGAGAACCCGCTCATATAGGAACGGCGCGGAGCAGAGATTCTGCCCCAACAGTGTGCAGACTCTAAGCAAAAGCACATGAAATAAACATAAACAAATACATGTTTGCAGTCGAATGTAATGCTCATTAATGTTTAAATATCATCCTGTCCCCTGATATATATCCCCAAACGTTTCGGGAGACACAAACTAATTCCTCTATTTTTAATTATCTTTTTTGATTGTCATTTTTTAATTTGTATTTTTAATTTTATCGTCATATTTCGTTTTTTAAGAATATTTTGTAAAGTTATTTTGTAATGTTTGGAACTTTTTCATATTCTATTTGTATTATCTTTTTTTTCAAGTTTGTTTTTATTATTTTATTGTATTAAAAATAAGTTATTCAACATTTAAAAATAAGTATTTCTCTTTTTCAAATTTTTTATGTATTGTAGCCTAATGTAATTATGTTATTTTTAAATATTTTTAAAATACATTGAAATTAAATAGCAACAAGCACCACACATGTTAATATTGAAAACTGTTTTATCAATTAAAATCCAGACATTTAATGACTTTAATTGACCATACACTGCCCTATTTATTTAATTCAATTTGTTTGTATATATAGAAACTCCTGCCATTTCTATGCATTTACATTTGAAAAAGACAGATTCTAGACCAGTTTAGAGAAGTTTTTGCATTGTTTTTCCCTCAAAATTCCCTCTTCAGCCGTATGTTCAGAATTGTAGAATCAAACCCTCTTTAACACACATACAGTACATCTACTCAAGCACTTAACACTAAAAACCGCCAACGGGGTCAATTTGACCCAGAGCTGTTTTTGATTGTATGTAACTTTTTTTCAATAACATATTAAAGTCTCCCAGTCGGTGACTTTTCCTGAAAGTGTGTTATGTAGCACCCTATGTTGTTAAAAATTGCCAATATGAAGTCAGATTGAAGAAATCGGCAAAAGAATTGCCATTTATACCTATTTCCGCCAAGCGGGTCATATTGACCCCACCTCTTTTCGCGCTATTGATTTCGCATGTAAACAAACATGACGTTTTGCTATAGCAACACCTTTTGTCTACTGCTGTTCCTTATAGATTGAGAGATAAATTGAGAGAGAGAGATAGATTGATAGCGACAGTCTGTAGTGAAGGAGCGCACTTCCGCTCACGGGAGACTGCTTGTGCTGTGCTCTGCAGCAAACAGCTGTTTGCTTTTCACCCAATTACGACAACCGCCTCACGAAACCCTATGTTGTACCGTTAATAAACGAAACAATTTAACAAAATTGCTTGTCAAAATACCAATACCACAGGACCATTTTTCCTTTTAAAGCAATACTTTTACTTTGAAAATCAATGCATTCTAATGCTGGGTCAATTTGACCCCGGTGGCGGTTTTAGGTATAAAAAATCTCTGGCGGTTCTAGATGCCTGTGTGCTTAGTACCAGGTTGTTATCATACCAGCAATGGGTCTTGCTCGTTCTTTCGCTTCCCGTCTGATGAAACGACCAGGAGTGGCTGGATCAAGTTAGCTACCTAGCTAGTAGCTAGCACGTTAGTTAGCATTACAGCCTTGTCATTTTTATTAGCCTTAACATGAAGTAACATTTGGTAACCCAACATGTTAAACAGTAAGAGTAGTAGTCATATTTCGTGAACCCTTTGAAGAGTACTGTCACACCGGTGTGATCATTCTATAATACACTATTTAAGCCCGGGGTAGAAATGCTAACGCTATATTAGCATCTGCAATCTTTTCTACTTCACGCTATCTGCACAAATGGTTGACATTAAACATTAAAAAGACCAGGCAGTTCAGAGAGAATCAAAGGAAGGAAGGCAGGCAGGAAGCTTTGCATGACATTCTTCTGGACGTGTTTCGTTGTGGTGATAGTGAGGGTAGTCAATCCTTTTGTTGACAAGACAGTAGTGACGGTCATCTTGGTGACGTGTGTTGTTCTGCTAGACCGGAGATGTAGTTCATTCAGCGTTTCACACAAACAATGTGTTACTTCACAGTTTTGGTGCGGGTTGAGTGACAGATCGAGCAGTCTTCACTTGAGACCCATATTTCAACACTAGTAAGAACTTCTAGCCGCAGAACAAAACTTGACGGCAAGGACTCTGCAAGAGTGTGCCAACATCTTGGACTCGGCTCCATGGACGTCTCACGGAAGCCTAATCCCCCTACTTCATAAACATACAAAAACGGTAATTTCGTCTAATAACAAATTGGAATAGGACGACGAAACTTGAAAAAGAAGAAAACTCTTGGGCGAGTATTATCCTTGCGCGCCTCGTCTCTAAGCGGGTTGTAGAGATAACAAAAGGAGGTGGTTATCTCTATCGATTCTATTCTATGAATTGTTCTACGGACACCGATCATGGTCCAACAATAGTAAGGTCGTACCCAGAACGAGCAAGGAAAACGAAGGGCAGACTACTTTCCTGGTCCGCACACGACCTAGTGCATCAATGGATCGATCATCGTTCCCGTGCACAATCTAATGTCGGAACGGAACGTAAAATAAATCGGAATTTTACTTCATGTATTCATTGGGTTTTAACAATTTGTCATTCTCATCATCAGTATAAGCACGTCGGAAACTTCTCATGACAGGTGGGGCACACTGTATATTTATGGTGGTAATTCGCGGCCCTCTTTACGATTACGATGTAATCGTAACCGCTTAGAAATAGTGAGTACGATAGACGTGTTTTCCACTTTAATTTGTATTCTTCTAGTCCTCAAGTCTCTCTAGTTCCTTCCGTCCGTCGAACGTATAGTAAGAAGACCTGACAAAGTAAACACCCCTACACTCCCATCCGTTAAGGGAAACAAATCGTGTGTCATCACTACGGTAGAACCATGCAGACACAACAACACGTTCTCGTCTCTACATCAATAAAACTCGTAAAGTGTGTTTTTTTAATCAATAAGTGTCAAAATGCCTGTTTAATAATAAAATGAACGTTTTTCATAGAAAGTTTAACCCCTGTTTAGTATCCCATAAGCACCGTGTTAAGTTGCCCCTAGCTTTTTATTAGAAAGAGAGAGGTAACTGAAGTTATGTATAACATTCCGGCAAAGAGTTGAGCACTCCCTTTGACCGAAGGTTCGGTTATAAAGTTCCTATATGCAGTAGCTCACGGCGGCTTCCTGACAAGGTTAGAGGTCGTATGAACCTTACGGGGGTTCCGGTGAGGAACCAAACCCCCATTCAAGCTCCGACGCTGTACCCCATCTGAAACGCGGAAGTTTAGTGGTGTTCGAAAACGCGTGCCTGGCTAAAAGTTTTGGAAACGCCTCTTCCGACTTGGCTGCGTCGCGCTGTTGTAAATTTCATTCATACATCACGCATCTTGTACACAACCATTTTATACATGAAACACGTAAACAATAGTGGTTTTTTACACAAGGCACTTTCTATTCGTTCAAGATTAATATATCTTAGCACTCCATAATAAAAGCCA